CAGTCCACGGGGTCGCAAAGAGTCAGCCACAACTGAGTGACTCACTTTCATATATAAAATAGGTAATCAACAGGGACCTACTGTTTAGCACAGGGAACTCTACTCAATATTCTGTGATTATAATATTCCTATATAGGAAAATAAAATGAAGAAGGATGAATATGTGCACATGGATAACTGAATCAGTTTTAAAATAAAAACTAAAGTAAAAGAATATATATGTATGTACATAACTTGAATCATTTTGCTATACCTGAAACTAATGCAACACTGTAAATCACTATACTTCATTTTTTAAAATGTTATCCTAAAATAATAATAAAACCCTGACAGTAAATGAAAAAATATATAAATTTGTACATGGATATTCATAATAGCATTATCCATAATAGTTAAAAAAAAAAGTGTAAACTACCCAAATATCCATTAACTGATGAATGAATAAACAAAATGGGATATATCCAAACAACAGAATATTCATCCACAAATAATAATAATATACTGATACATGCTACAACATGGATGAACCTTGAAAATGAAGTGCTAGTCGAAAGAAGCCAGACATGAAAGGCAACATGGTCTTTGATTTCATTTATATGAAATATCCAGAAAAGGCAAATCCATGGAGACTAGAAAGCAGTAGTGGTTGTCAGGGACCGAAGGGAAAGAAGAATGCAGAATGACTACCAGTAGTGATGCAGTTTTTGAGGGGATGATGAACATGTTTTGGAATTCAACAGAAATGATAATTGTACAACATTGTGAATGTAACTGGAAGCCACTGAATTGGGCACTTTAAAATGATGAGTTTTACGTTACATGAGATTTACCTCAGTTAAAAAAAAAATAGGGGATTTATGGATGGACTAGACATGGAGAGTGAGAAAAAGAAAGAGGTCCAGGATGGTAGCTGAAAGAATGGAGTCACCATAATCAGGGATGAAGAAGGCTACTGTGACAGATGTGGAGAGGAGGACAAGGAGCTGAGGTCTGGACAGAAACTGGGCATTGGGGAGAGGTCCTAGAGGCAGACATAAATTGTGGAGTTGGCATCAGCATGTAAGTGGTACTGAGGTGCAAATAGAACATGTCCTGGGGCTTCCCTGGTGGCTCAGTGGTAAGGAATCTGCCTGCCAGGGCAGGGGACATGGGTTCAAACCCTGATCCAGGAAGATCCCACATGCTGTGGAGCAACTAAGCCCATACACCACAACTCATGAGCCTGTGCTTCAGAGCCTGGGAGCCGTGCGCCCGAGAGCCTGCACTCCGCAACAAGAGAAGCCGCTGCAATGAGAAACCCCAGCACTGCAGCTAGAGAGTAGCTCCCACTCGCCACAACCAGAGAAAAGCCCAAGCGGAAGACCCAGTGCAGCCAAAACTAAATACATTATTTACAAACAAACACGTCCTTATATGAGTCCTTTTGTATATAATCAAATAATGGACAAGCGTTTCTCTTAGGCATTCTCCTACCCATTACCATGTGAAAATGACAAGGTGCATTTTTGCTAACTCTGAGTATATTTAGGGTGATCTGGCTTAGAATATAGATCGGGCTAGGGACAGAATGTATGACCTGATAAATATAGCTAAAACTGATGTATGTTTTCCATCCTGGAGTTTCCATCATAAGAGAAAAAAATGTTCTCTTATTTTGTGTCTCTATGAGACAATGGGTATTCACTAAATGTACTAACCATTTCATGATGTAAGTTAAATCATGCTGCATAAAATTATACGGTTCTGCATGTCAATACTATCTCAAACTTGGAAGGAAAAAAAAATGGAATTGAGGGCCCTGAGACTGGATCAGATCACCATGTCTGGGAAGGATAGATAGAGTGGAGAAGAAGTTCACAGGCTGAGTCTAGGACATCCCGGCATTCAGATGAGGAGGAACCAAAGAGGGACAAGAGGTGGCCACAGAGGTGGGAGAGGGACAAGACAGTGTTGTCCACCAGGCTAAGACAGAGAGAGATGCAGGAGCGTTCGGCTTGCCAAAGACTTCTCATAGGTCAAAGTAAGGTGAGGATCACAGTCAGCATCAGACTTAGCAACATGGAGGTCATGTATGACCTTGACAAGTGTTGTTTTAATGCATCTTTGGGAGCAAAGCCTGATTCAAAGGAGACAAGTAGGAGTTCCTGTGTCTAGAGAATTATTTTGAGTTTGAGAAGTTCTTATAAACGGGTTGAGACACATATGGTGGCTAAAGGGAGAAGGACAGACAAGAGAAGAATTTTAAAGGTGCGTATTTAGTGGCATGTTTATATGTTGATGGGGTGACCTGTTACACCAGTGGAGGGTTTTTTCCAGCAGCTCATCTGGAGTAACAGAAGGAAAGTGAGAATATGGGTACTAAGGCTGGTAGGCTGGTAAATATGATGAGCGTTTATGGAAATTCCCCCCGACCTCATCAGTTTTCTCAGAATAGGAATTAAAGGTCAGCTGCTAGAGTGAGGAAGGTCTGGGATGTTTTAGAAGAGACGAGAAGTAGCAAATCACCCAGGAGAATGGGAGAAGGACTGAATGGGAAAAGGGGATATGGTCAGATTACCAGGCATCAGGAAGGCACAATTGGGGTTCATGGTCAGGAGTTTAACACCAGTCAGTGTGGCTTCCTTCATTTCTGCTGCCACATTCAGCTGCAACNTCATGGTCAGGAGTTTAACACCAGTCAGTGTGGCTTCCTTCATTTCTGCTGCCACATTCAGCTGCAACAGGGACACACAGGAGCTTCCATCATTTCACCAAGCAAGTGAAGTGAGAAAGAGGCAAAGGATCTGAGGATATACACAAGGGAATGATTCTAATGACTGACCGTGGAATGCATGCTAGGTAAGAAGAGAAGAAAGACGAAGAAGCTGAGGGATGGGAAAAGTAGTTTAGGTTAGGTTGAAGGTCCTAGGGAAGGGAGACGTTCTGGGAGTATGGGGGGGTGAGGTTACAAAAAAGAATAAACTACAGAGAGTCCAGGTGGTGGTCAGAGGGCGATGTCTATGAAATTGAGGTAGAATTACTGATGATCACAGCTCCAAAGGATGAGCAGGAGAGTTAGTAAGCAGAGGATCACCAAAAAACTAACAGGCCAGGATGCTGGAAGGCTTGACTGCTTGTATAATGAAATCACGAGGAAGGAATTCAGGAATAGAGTTGGCGCATGACAATGGCACCAACCCAACCCTGGGCCTTAGCAGGAAAGGGCAATTGTATTCTGAGCACACAAAAGTTCTCTCTTGACCTCTCTTTGAAGAGTAGACGCCTGAGGAAAGGGTCTCAGGAGCCAGGTGACTCTCTGCGTGGCAAACACTCATTGTATACACTCACTCTGCATTGCATACCCCCCTTCATAAAGAGCCAGGCTCGGGGCAGCAGCCCCTGCCTGGAGGTCCTGCACAGTGTTAAGCATCATATCTACACGGTTCCGATCATTGTATCTCTAGCTTCTAAGCACATTGACTGGCCCATCAATACTGAAATACTTGCCAAATGAAGGAATTCATTGTGACTGAACAAGCCACATACCAGGCACCATGATAAGCCCTCCACATGAATTTCCTCCCTCAATCTTCATGACAGCCCGATGACATTAGTAGCTTATATCTGGTAACCTGAAGCTGAGAAAGGGCCAGGAACTTGCCAAAGGTCACAGAACAAGGACATCCAAAGGGAGATCTAGCTTACTCCAGCACTGTCTAAATCACCACGTGGAGCAGGGGGTGGGGGTCAACTGACCAAGTCTGGAAGGACATCTGTTTTCCAGAGCCCAGATAAAGCAGCTCTAGGTCCAGACCAGACCTTCACAGGCTCTTGCCTCCCTCTCCTGCTGGGCTCCATACTCAACATCCCACTTTATTTCATTCTCTCTCCAAGATCCCCTTCTGGCTTTCCACCCATCATGATTTCAGAAGTCTTTATTTCTGTTTCCACCATAGATGTGAAAAGCTGGCTTGTGATGTTTGGATTTCAGCTCAGCAACATAATTCCTGGCTTTCCAAGGGCCAAAATGTATTTTGTGCCTCCGCCCTATGAATTGTCAGAGAGTCAAGCAAGTGAGAGCGGACAGGTAAGCGGAGGTCCCTGCCAAGAATCCAAAAGATCATCATCATTCCCTCTGGCAAACAGAACCATGTCGGGGCCAAGGATGTGTCAGTAGCAGCAGAAAACATTGGAGCTGGGTATAAAAGGGGCATGAAACCTGGTGGCTTCACAAGACAGCAAACATCAGTGCTGTCACTTGTCTGGCACAGCACATATTTCTTCCCAACCTCAATTATTACCTTAATTGTGGTATCATTATCCGTTCAGTGTATACCCTTGAGTCACTCCTTGATTAACAACAGCACTGAGATATCTAGCAGCAACCCACCATCTGCACTGCCTGTAAGATCATAACCCTTTTGGCTTTTATGGGACATAATAAAACGGTGGTTTGCAGTTTCTGTCCCATTAAAGAACATTTTTATGCCTCACATAAAATCTCAGCATTTTATGGCCCAAACGTACACAGATTGAGTTTTCGGAACATAATCTGTGCTTGGGTTTCTTGGTGATGACCAAGAGGTGGTCAGTTTCAATTTGGGTGCAGCTGAGACCGTGGCCACAATTGGATGGGAGGCGTGGGCATCTGCGTTTGGATTTCTCCTGCTGCAGAACCCGTGCTTGGCATGATCAACCTCTGAAAGGTCTCAGCTGCTCTGAATAATTGTCCAGACTGTCACTAGAGAGAGACCAGGAGGAACTGCTGGGTAATTGAGAACAGCGTTCTCACAGTTCTGCCCCGTGGGGACCACTCATTGGATGAATAGCCATCATTTTGCTCATTTATCTAAGTGCCGTTACCTCCCCAACACAGCCTCCTCCATTATCCCAGCCTGTCCCCCAACCACCAATTGAGATCAGTTGTAATTTGTAAGTAGAAAACTCAAGGCCAAGGAGATAATGGGGATTTCGTCCCCCTGCAGAAGCGGGCTAGGATCCAAAGCAAATGGCTCAAAAAGCCCAGGGATATTCCCCCTGGCCCACGCAGCTGGAATCTCTTTAGCCTGGTGCTTCTCAAACCTTCATATGCTTGCAGACCAGGTAGAGGGTCTTGGTAAGATGCAGCTGCTGACTCACTGGGTCAGGAGGGAGGCCTGAGATTCTAGTCTTTGCTAACAGGGAGGATCCTGGTGATGCCTCTGCTCCTAGCCATACTTGGAGTAGCACAGTGCCAACTCAAGAAAGTTAAAGAACATCCTCTTCTGGAGGGGCTAGCTATTCCCTCCTCCAGGGGACCTTCTCAACCCAGGGATTGAACCCAGGTCCCCTGCACTGCAGGCAGATTCTTTACCACCAGGGAAGCCCCATATGTGTATAAGGCAGCTGCTAAGCCATTAGCGGGTCAAATGACTCTCCTTTCTGCAATGATGGAGGGACANTGCACTGCAGGCAGATTCTTTACCACCAGGGAAGCCCCATATGTGTATAAGGCAGCTGCTAAGCCATTAGCGGGTCAAATGACTCTCCTTTCTGCGATGGAGGGACATGGTAAGTGCATAGGCCTGGGTATAGATGCCAGTCAGGCAGTATGCCTCTGCACCCCCATTTTTAGTTACAAGGTGGGGAGGCCATACCATCAGAGCACTGGAAACAAGCCAGCCTGTCCTAGTTCCAAAAGCTAGGGCTCTCTTAGTTCTGATCATGACAGACACAAGACGTATTCTTGCAGGGGTGTCCCAGCCTTCCTCTTTCTGACTCAGCCCATGCATACACAAGGTGGGCCCAGCCCACCTCCTCAGCTTTCTGTGTTTTCTTCTGCCCACAGCTCATTACCGGTGTCCAGCAGACAACCGAGAGGCACAACCAGGCCTTCCTGGCTCTTGAAGGGCAGGTCATTTCTAAGAAGCTCCACGCCAGCATCCGCGAGAAAGCAGGCCACTGGTTCGCCACCACCACGCCCATCATCGGCAAAGGCATCATGTTCGCCATCAAGGAGGGGCGGGTGACCACCGGCGTGTCCAGCATCGCCAGCGAGGACAGCCGCAAGGTGGCGTCCGTGCTCAACAATGCCTACTACCTGGACAAGATGCACTACAGCATCGAGGGCAAGGACACCCACTATTTCGTGAAGATCGGCGCGGCCGACGCCGACCTGGTCACCCTGGGCACCACCATCGGCCGCAAGGTGCTGGAGAGTGGGGTGAACGTGACCGTGTCGCAGCCCACGCTGCTGGTCAACGGCAGGACTCGAAGGTTCACCAACATCGAGTTCCAGTACTCCACGCTGCTACTCAGCATCCGCTACGGCCTCACCCCCGACACCCTGGATGAAGAGAAGGCCCGTGTCCTGGACCAGGCCAGGCAGAGGGCGCTGGGCACGGCCTGGGCCAAGGAGCAGCAGAGAGCCAGGGATGGCCGCGAGGGCAGCCGCCTGTGGACGGAGGGTGAGAAACAGCAGCTGCTGAGCACGGGCCGCGTGCAGGGCTACGAGGGCTATTACGTGCTCCCCGTCGAGCAGTACCCTGAGCTGGCGGACAGTAGCAGCAACATCCAGTTTTTAAGACAGAACGAGATGGGAAAGAGGTAACAAAATCGTCTCCTGCCATTCCTCGCCTGGATGGCTCAGCGGGAGTCACTGTTATCTCCTCTCCTAAGGAGATGAAGACCTAACGGGGCACTAACGGCCGGGCTGCTTTAGGAGACCAAGTGGCAAGAAAGCTCACATTTTTTGAGTTCCAATGCTACTGTCCACACGAGAAGTCCCACCTCCTGGAGTAGACTAAAGCCCGCCGGCAAAATTCCTGAGGAAAAAACAAACAAACAATCAAAACACAAAACAGACGAATGGATGAACACACAACCATGTTCCAAGTTCCCCTAAAATAATGACCCACTTGTTCAGGGTCTACGCAGCCAAGAGACAGAAAGAGACGCAAAATGTTCAAAAGAAACAAAACATACATGTGCACACAGGAAACAAACAAAATACACACACACACAAAAAAAAAAACAAAAACACACCAAGCGAAAAGCAGAGACGTGAAGATGAGAAGGCCTCATGTTCTATTACCTCACTCATTCCCACGTGAGCGACACACAGATATCCGTGAGGGCCGGCATCCCACGACCAGCTAAGGACCACGATTCAGACTGCTCGTTGGATAGATACTACAGACGTTTTCGTTTAAACAAATACAGGTGCATTTAAACCATGACTTTGGGGGTGATTTGTGTGTAGCGACTGGGGAGGGGGGGGATAAAAGTGAAAGAGTGAGCACTGGAAATAACTTTTTAAAGAAAAAAAATAGAAAAACACAAGAAAAAAAAAAGGAAATTAGTATCAAAAATCGGAGCGAAATAATACCGTTCAGCACTTAACTCTCAGGTCCTGATTTAGTCTGGCCTGAGCTAATTTATTTGAGCGCAGAGTGTAAAATTTAATTCCAAGGGTGGCTATAATCACTCCAGATCAATTTCATACTCTTTTGTCTTTGAAGATTCCATTGTGGACAGTAATACGCAGTTACAGGGTGTAGTCTGTTTAGATTCCGTAGTTCGTGGGTATCAGTTACAGTAGAGGTGTGGGCATCGTGACACTCTTTTGCTAAACGGGCACCACTTCAGATCACCCTGTACATACCTAAGCCTCGAGGCACAATCACTGTTTGAGATTTACAATTATTAGTGTGTTTGTTTGGTCCAGAAACTGAGACAATCACATGACAGTCACCACGAGGAGAGCAAATAAAAAATTTTAAAAACCCACAAAAAACAAGAAAAAAAAAGTTTAAAAAAAAAACATAAAAAAATGTCTAATAAGAACTTTGGTACAGGAACTTTTTTGTAATATACATGTATGACTTGTTCATCGAGTTTTTATATTAATTTTAATTTGCTGCTAAGCAAAGACTAGGGACAGGCAAAGATAATTTATGGCAAAGTGTTTAAATTGTTTATACATAATAAAGTCTCTAAAACTCCTGTGGACACTGGTCTTCTGTGGAAATGCTTTGCGGTGAGGGCAAGGTCAAAAGTTCTGGAGGAAAGGGTGTGTGTGCATGCTTAAGTCGCTGTTATGTCAGACGCTTAAGACCCCACAGACTATAGCCCACCAGGCTCCTCTGTCCATGAAATTCTCCATGCAAGAATACTAGAGTGAGCAGCTGTTCTCTTCTCCAGGGGATCTTCCTGACTCAGGGATTGAACCCAGGCCTCCTACATTGCAGGCAGATTCTTTACTGTCTGAGCCAACATGGAAGCCCCATTTTTTGATGTTAACTACATGCCAAGAACAGAGCTAAGTGCTCTACATACAATTTTTTTTTTCATTCAACATTATTCTGAGAGCTTACCATATGCTGGGCCCTATGCTAAATTCTGGGGATAAAGGAGGTGACATGAATAGGGGCACTAATCTCATGAAACTTACAGCCAAGGATGCAGACAACAGTCACGTAGTGACACTATAATGAAGTAAAATGACAGGAGTCAATCTCTCAGGAGGAGAGATTTACAGTTATAAAAGCACTTAACTGGGGATGTGGCCTTGACTGAGAATGCAAAGGAAGTACTGAGATTTGAAAGTTAAGGAGGAGGTAACCAGATGAAAAGTGAACGCATCCCAGACCCAGAAAACAGTACATGCAAAGGGACAGTGGTCACACAGGCCAGAAAACAGAAGAGGTTTCCAAGGTTCAGAAAACACCCTGATTAAAGACTGGATTTTTTTTTTTTTTCTTGTCATTACAAACAGGGAGTGTGCTTTAATCTCATCAACAAGTGCTCTGAATGTGGTGTGAACAGGCAGGGCAGCTGATGCGATCATCTGTGTGAGATAACAAGGAAGGTTGCTGGCCATCAAGGAGGAAACAGAAGTAAATTGAGTGGACAGATTGCAAAGACAAGCTCCAAGTATCATTCACTTAAAAGTGGAGAAACTGAGGCTGCTTTTCACCAAGCTGGGAGGTGGTAGAATGATTCAAGCCCAGCCACGGCTGATTCCCAAACCTCTCCAGCACACCCAGGTGGCATGTCACCCCGAGTCCTTCAAGGTTTCTGAACCACCACTGCCTTTCAATTCTCTAGCCTGACCAGGGGTGGCTTTCCCAGGTGGAAGGAGACGGGGAAAGAGGCCAGGCTAGAGAGGCCATGGTGTATCAGATCCCATGACCCTCTTATCAGCAGAGCAAGCTGTGATGAGTGAATCAAACAGAACAAAAATACACCAGAGAATTTCCTTCTCAGAAGCATGTGTAAGGACTTCCCTGGTGATCCAGTAGCTAAGACTCTGCACTCCCAATGCAGGGGGGGGCTAGTTTCAATTCCTGATCAGGGAACTAGATCCCACATGCCCATGCCACATCCCCATGCCCAGGGGTCCACATGCCATAACTGAGACCCAGCGCAGTGAAATAATATGAATATTTTTTAAATACCTTTAAAAAAGAAGCACATGTAAAGCTTTCTTTCCCTGTTTTCTTTTAGAAGAACAGGAAGCAGGGCAGAGGTCCTCCGTGTGCCTGGTCCAGCTGCCTCGTTTAATCTGCCTGGTGTCAGGACCCCTTGGATCTGTACCCACAGAACAGCCTCCAGTTGGTCACAAAGCCAGGCTGAATCCCAACCACATGGGGCCAACTGCTGTGCCCTGTCTCTCCAGGGAAGGTGCAGCCAGTGAGGCCACCACGACGGAGGGGGTCTCAGGCAACAAGGCAGTGGGAGCTTGCCCAACCTCACCAGCCTCATGGGGGGGTGGGGGAGGGGGGCAGGCAGACTGAAAAGGGTGGGCTCACAGCGCAGCACACAGGCAGTCACATGTCACCAGAGTTTCCCTTGAGTGCAAAACTCTCCTCTTCTATGCGCGCCATCTTGGAATTATCCATAAGTGCTCTCTGACACCCAGGCCAGCCGAGCCCCTCACAACATGCACACTCATAATGCAGGAGAAGGAGGTGGTCTTGGGTTTAAAAAAAAAAAACTTCTGTCTTTCCTTGAACCAGACCTAGAATGACCAGCATAAAAAAAAAAAAAAAAAAAAAAACTTCTGTCTTTCCTTGAACCAGACCTAGAATGACCAGCATAAAATGTTTCACCTCTTCCAAAAGAATGGGTTGGCCATACTTTTTCCATAACATCTCATGGAAAAGCCTGAACAAATTTTTCGGCCAACTCAGTGTTTGCACAATGAAAGACAATTCCAGAAAGGCCTTTCAAGGGACAAGATTGTACACTCTGAAGTCAGCTTGCTGGAAACAAATCCTAACTTGACCACTCATGAAACACAGGGCTTGGGAAGGTTTATGTTGTTTAGTCACTAAGTCATGTCTGACTCTTTGCAACCCCTTGGATGATAGTCTACCAGGCTTCTCTGTCCATGGGATTTCTCAGGCAAGAATACCAGAGAGGGTAGCCATTGCCTTCTCCAGGGGATCTTCCCGACCCAGGGATGGAAGGCGTGTCTCCTGCATTACAGGTAGATTCTTCATTGCTACATGCCAAGAACCGTGTTATGTGCTCTACACATGATATTTTCATTCAATCCTAATTCTTTTTCATTCAACAACATCATAGCCACCAGGGAAGCCCTTTGGGAAATTACATGTATTAATTGGGGTAAACAGCATTAGCTGCTTTAAGAGATAAACCTAGGAAGTTCCCTGGTGTCCAGTGGCTAAGGCTCCATGCTCCATCCAAATGCAGGGGGCTCAGGTTCAATCCCTGGTCAGGGAACTAGATCCCAGATACCACAACTAAGAGTCCACATGCCACCACTAAAACTTCCTCATGCCACAACTAAAAGATCCTGCATGCCGCAACTAAGACCTGACAGCCAAATAAGTTTAAAAAAAGAGATATACCCAATATAAGCTAACACAGAAAATGCTGAATCCTTACTTGTGGTTGTCCACTGTGGGCCAGCAGTGGAAATAGCTCTGCTCCAATGAGGGCCCCAGGCTCCTTCCATCTTGTGGCTCCACCTTCTTCTAGGTCCTCAGAATCTTTGAAGTAGAGCCAAATGTGTAACTACTTTATTTTTAATGGGCCACACCTGGGCGTATACTCATCCCCTCCACTCACATTCCATGAGGGGTTCCATGGACCTTTCTACTGCAAAGGACACTTAAGACAATGTAGTCTGACTAGGAATTCAGGAAGAGGAGACTGGATGTTCATGAGTCTAAGCAGTTGTTGCCATCTAAGGCAGCATCTATGAGCCTCTGTTTCCTGATCCATAAATCAGGGCTGATAAACACGGGGCTGCTCGGATAGTTAAATGTGATTGCATATATCACCAACACATGGTAAGTCCCCAGTAAACACTAGCTTTTATTATTTCTAAATCTTTGCTCCAAGCACAGAGTCTCTAAAAGTAGAACTTGAGGCAGGACCTGTTCATCGTAGGGGAAAGAGATTTTTATGCAGCTGTGAAGAAGATGGAGAAAACTGGCCCTCAAATCCTGCTCGGGGGTGCCCCTCCTCCCTCCCAGGCCCAGGACACAGGAACATGTACCTCAGGATGCGAGCGCTGCTCACGGCTTTTCGGAAAGGCTCAGTCTCAGCAACATGGAGTCTGGCTGTCCATTCAGTCATTCGTCGACATTCGCAGTCACCGAGAACAGGGTCGTCCCGGGCACCGTCAGAAGCTCGGACTACAAAGAGAAATAAAACATGGTCCAAAAATCTCACCGTCTAAAGCGTGAGGACTAACTCACAAGCCAATCTGTGGGGCAGAGCAGGCTCGACGCTGGCACAGAAGTGATGGCCCAAACTGTGAAGGCGGGGGAGAGGACCACAAGTTCTGCCCACGAGCATAGAGCTGGGTACTCACAGGGACGAGAACGTGAGGACGAGAAGGTGAGAGGGCTGCCCGGACTAAGAAGTAGATTGCAGGAGTGAGAAGAAAGTCATAAGCTGACCACCGAGACCTTGCCAAAGGCTAGAGCGATGGCTACGCACGTGGACCCGCCCCACACGTGGAGCTCTGATCACGCCCGCAACATCCAGGGCCAGACCAATCAGAGCAGGACCTCGAGGGGGCGTGGTTACCAGGGGCGGATTCTGAAGCTCCCCAGGGGAAGCGAACCTGCAGCCCTGGGAGAAGTACTGATTGGAGCCTTAACAGGAGGTACGTGGCCTCAGACATCCATGTCTGAGTGAGGCAGGAAGGAAGACCAGGCCAAGAAGTCGGACGTCCTCTTCCATACCACGAGGTCTTGTTGTCTAGTCGTTAAGTCGCGTCTGACTCTTTGCGACCCCATGAACTGTAGCCCACCAGGCTCCTCTGTCCTTGGAATTCCCCAGGCAAGAATACTGGAGTGGGTTGCCATTCCCTTCTCCAGGGGATCTTCCAGACTCCAGGATTGAACCCGCGTCTCCTGCTTGGCAGGCGGATTCTTTACTGTCTCGGCCACCAGGGAAGGGCAAGGCTCTTGCACCTGGGGAGAAATATTACTGGGAAATCCTTTGACTAGCAAAGTGGAGAGAGGAGAGGAGCAGAAAGAACAGTCTGGGAGGCTGCATCAGCCCCCGTGTAACAGCCCAGATGGTGAGGAGACACAGGATTAGGTTTCAGAGGGAGGAGGAGGCTCTGTATCTCCCTCACAGCTGGGGGCAGGGTCAGTACTGGGTCGAGCTCAGCAGGGTTCAGTCCAGAAGCTCAGAGGGTGCCCTGCAGGGGAAGTGTCACACACACCAACATGGCCTCTCCACACAGGTAAAAGAACCAATGCCTCAGGAGAAGGGCTTAAGGAGAAGTCTAACCTAGGCTTACCTTCAGGATTCCTCTGATGGGCTCACATCAAGACTTTGCAGGAACATTCTGATCCAGTGTGCCCACAGCCAAGCCCCACCATCCATCCTGACGCTTCTGGGAAGCCTGAACCCTCCCTCTGACGCCCAAGCTGGCCCTCCGACTGCGGGGCAGCCCTCCAAAACCAAATCTGCACTAGCTGGAGTCTTTCCAGAGACTGACCTCACCTGTTGCCCAAGCCCCACCCTCCTAAACCTGGTACATGCTTGCTGTCTGGCCACAAGGTGGCAGCGTTTCCCACGAAATCTTCCTGGATCTGGGCCTGGGCACCCAGGACTGGTTTAGCGAAAATGTTAGGCAGCTCCGCTCTGAAAATCAAGAGACGGCCAAGAAAGCCCTGGGCCCAGAGAAGAGTCCTGTGCCCTCAAAGAGGCCCCTGGAATCGGTTCCAGGAAGCAAGATTCCAAAGTATATTCGCCCTGGGAACAGCAGACTGGATTCAGAGCCTAGCTCCACCATGTATTCCCTGAGATTTTCATACAAACCTTCCCCTTCCTGAGCAACCCATTTTCTCAGGTGCAAAATGGAGGGAAATTACTTTATAGGATTATTTGAAAAGAGTAACAAAAATAATAAATACGAAGTACTTGGCAAGTGCAAAATTGGGATTTAAAATTTTCTTTTTTCTTTAAATAATTGTATTTATTCATTTGGCTTTACTGGGTCTTTGTTGCTGCCCGGGCTTTTCTCTAGGTTCAGTGAGCGGGGACCACTCTCTAGTGGTGTGTGGACTTCTCAATGCAGTGGTTTCTTGTGTTGAGGAGCACAGGCTCTAGACACACGGGCTTCAGTCATTGCAGCTCTAAGGCTCCAGAGCACAAGCTCAGTAGTTGTGACACATGGACTTAGATGCTCCATGGCAAGCGGGATCTGCCCAGATCAGAGATGGAAACCATGTCTCCTGCATTAACAGGCAGGTTCTTTACCACTGAGCTACCAGGGAAGCTCTAAAGTTTTATTTTCTACTCCAAAGACCGTAACCCCAAAATGATGCCCTGTTTTCCTTTCACAGCATTTTACCATTTAAATCCCACTGTCCTCCTTTTTAGCTAAGCCTGGGCTCTTTACCTAACCTCTGAAGCCTCACTTTCCTTCTCTCTGAAATGGGTATGATGATCCCATCTCACAGGGAGATGCTGTAACTAACACCCAGCTTGAAGTGAAGTGAAGTTGCTCAGTCGTGTCCAACTCTTTGCAACCCCATGGACTGTAGCCCACCAGGCTCCTCCATCCATGGGATTCTCCAGGCAAGAATATTGGAGTGGGTTGCCATTTCCTTCTCCAGGGGATCTTCCCGACCCAGGGATTGAACCCAGGTCTCCCGCATTGCAGGCAGACGCTTTAACCTCTGAGCCAACACCCATCTTAGTGCCTGGCAAATGGGTATGACTATTCATCCAACACAAAGCATGATTATTACTCTTAGCCTCTGAGGACTGAAGGTAGAGCCCCGGTCCTGAGATTAGCTAAACACGGTCCCAGTCCTGAAGCTTGACCTGTCAAAGAGCAAACGTCACCACTCTCCTCTCCATCCGTCCCGCACATAAACTACAGAAAGCAATAAACATGCACTTGGCTAGCAGACCCTGGGGCAAGAGGAAAAGAAGCTATGCCTGCACCCCCACAGGAATATTCTACCCAGTGGTCACCCTCCCAGAGAATGAAATGGAAGGATCTTGGTGGGGTCCGTTACCCAGGTTCTCAGTTAGGAGGTAGTGAAGGTAGGGAGTGATCACCTGGCACCTGGCCAGCTACACGGTCCTCATCAGGGCTCCAGCCTGAGCAAGACAGACAACCTCTCTTTTTGCCCCACCCACCTTTATTTGGGGGGGCTCCAAAATCACTGCAGATGGTGACTGCAGTCATGAAATTAAAAGACACTTGCTCCTTGGAAGAAAAGTTATCACCAACCTAGACAGCATATTAAAAAGCAGAGACATTACTTTGCCAACAAAGGTCTATCTAGTCAAAGCTATGGTTTTTCTGGTAGTCATGTATGGATGTGAGAGTTGGACCATAAAGAAAGCTGAGCACCAAAGAATTGATGCTTTTGAACTGTGGTGTTGGAGAAGACTTGAGAGTCCCTTGGACTGCAAGAAGATCAACCAGTTCATCCTATAGGAAATCAATCCTGAATATTCATTGGAAGGACTGATGCTGAAACTGAAACTCCAATACTTTGGCCACCTGATGTGAAGAAGTGACACCTTGGAATAGATTCTGATGCTGGGAAAGATTGAAGGCAGGAGGAGTAGGGGACGACAGAGTAGGAGATGATTGGATGGCATCACTGACTGGATGGACATGAGTTTGAGTAAGTTCTGGGTGTTAGTGATGGACAGGGAAGCCTGCCATGCTGCAGCCCATGGGGTCACAAAGAGTCAGACACGACTGAGCTGAAGTGACCCACTTTTAGTCCGTGTGGGTGGCCACTTCCATGAAGCATTCTCTTCCATCCTTTCCCCTTAGCAATTGCTTATCTGTCCTTTCCAGTGAATCTCCTCCCTGGTCCCCTTCACTCTCTAAACCCAGTGAAATTATCAAATGCTTTCACCTGGTACTTCCCTAGTGGTCCAGTGCTTAAGACTTTGCCTTCCAATGCAGGGGGTGCGGATTTGATCACTGGTCAGGAAGGACAGAGGATGAGATGATTGGATGGCATCACTGACTCAATAGACATGAGTTTGATCAAACTCTGGGAGATAGCGAAGGACAGGAAAGCCTGACTTGCTGCAGTCCAAGGGGTTGCAAAAGTCAGACCCAACTTAGCAACTGAACAAGAGAGCTAGGATCCCACGTGCCTCTTGGCCAAAAAACCAAAACACGAGCAATACAAATTCAATAAAGACTTTAAAAATGGTCCACCTCAAAATAAAAAAAAAAAAAAACCCTTTCTCCTAAATTAATTGATCCTACTTGAATTTTACATTTACCCAGTGAGACAGTCAGGAGCAGCTGAGAAACTGAGGCTTGAAGAGAGGAAGTGACCAGATGAAGTCACACAACACAACAGACCCATTCTAGTGTCTGGAAATCCTCCTCCTCCTGTTCCCAGTCTACTATCTCATTATATTATGGTTCATTATGTTCATTGCCAGGCCCCTCCCTCAACAACGTTTCACCTTCGTGTGATCTCAGTCAAACACGGATTTATTCTAAGGCAGGAGCCGTTGGCCAGAAGGATTCTGCCCCATGGGTTGAAGTCAGCCAGGTGCACATCTATCATGCAGGAGGCTGGAGTGGGGAGGGGAGATGAGAGGAAGATCCCAGACTGGCTCCGCCCCCAGGCAGCATCACTGTGTTAACCAGAGCACTTGTGATGCTAAGTGTCAGAACTGGCAAGTCCAAAGGCATGACTGACTTCAGACAAGGTCGGATCCAGGGGCTCAAAGGATGTCGTTGCCCCGCCTCCACCTCTGCTTCCCATGAGAAGTGGCCTTATTCCCAAGTAGGCTTTCTCCACGTGTGGCAACAATGACTGCTAACAGCCCCAAACCTATAGCCTTGCAGCACCCATGGAAACAGCAGAGAGCCCTCCCTCTAACCACAGAAGACCTTGAATTGGCTCAAATCCCACCAGAACTTGGGGACCATAGATTTGCAGCAACATGGATGAAGCTAGAGATTATCATATTAAGTGAAGTAAGTCAGAGAGAGAAAGACAAACATCATACGACATCACTTGTATGTGGAATCTAATACATGACACAAATGAACAGAAATATGACACTACAGAACAGAAAAAGAATCAGGGACATCGAGAATAGATGGGTGGTTGCCAAGGAGAAGGGGGAGTGAGAGAGGGATGGATCGAGAGTTCGGGCTTAGCAGATGCAAACT